GCGATGACGCATCCCAAATAGCTGATGGTAGGCCCGCACCGCTTTCATTCCCAATCACACATACCGAGGAGCTATCCCCCAAGCACCTCTGTTTGAATCGGAGGATCTGAAAGCAAGACACGCCAGCGCTGCCCCATTTCATTTTCAGCGTCCTCAGAATGCATTCTTAACTTTGCTTAGCCTCAGCCGATAGATCTGCCTGCCCTTACGGCGATGTCATCCTCAGGTAAACTGTAAATCAAAGAAGATCTCAAACCGCGTACCGCTTTTCTCCGCGTTTGAGCCACGGCTTTGGGAAGCCACAGATACGAAAGTCCTCCCCTCCCGGACGAAGCTGCCGTTTAGGTCCCCTGAATGGGTTGATGATTAAGTAAAGGGCTTCCCCATCTGTTTCGCTCTGGCCCTTCCAGCCCTTTCCTTTTCCTTTCTTATCATCCTCTTTGGTGGGTAGGTGCTAGCCCAAACCAAAGTATGAGGGTTATGGGCACTTGGGCCAATCCTGCGACACCTTTCCGGCCACTCTTGCCCAATCCCATCCCGGGGAATGTGCCTGGAGTTTGTTCAATGAGTAGACTGCTTTGGCAACTTGACAATACCCCTTCATTAGCTGCCATGATGTCTGTACAACCCGAGCCCTCAGCCAAGGTAAAACTATATAAACACATCTTCCATACCGTGTTCAATTTCTAGAAACGGCGTGGATACTTCTGGCGGCGGTGAATTGATGAATTTCGCAGACAATGGCTCTCCCTTCATAGGGGTATTTCACCAACTTGATGTAGGGTAAGAGGAGACCGCCTTTACCTGATGCAGCCATGGCGCCCCAAAGCAGGTTTGAACGTGCGGAACTCAAGACATGAATCTATTCTCGTGCTGTCCCGGCCCAACTTTGTTTGAATCTTAACTGTCCATTAACTTCCCGGTTGTGTTGTCCTACGCCCGAATTACCTGGGCCGTTGGCACGAAATCCGCGCTTTCAAACCAATCGCATAAGCTGTCCTTGCCGGCAGACGTTGATGCGGACCCCGTGTCGACAAGCACCACGGGTATCCATTTATCCCTGCACTCCACAGAGATGTAGAGTGGCTTGTTATGGTTTGCACCCTCGGGTGGCAGTTCTTTGTCAGAAAAACTCAATGCTGGGGAACTTCTCCCGAAAAGACTAAGCCACCAGCTGTTCGGCGTGGTGTCTATGGAAAGCTTGGCTTTGTCCATGCTGTAAGACGGCTTGTCTATGTACTCGAGAAGCCATAAGCAGTCCCCAGATGGAGATGTCTGGCTTGTATCTTTTTCACATTGTTCAATACGGCCTCATCTCCGAGTTGCTTTTCCTTTTGCTTCTCTGCCTCCTTATCTTTTCCAGACGCCTCTGGTTGATCTAGGTGTGGAGGCTTGAAATACCGTCCACTCCTAGTCATGTGATCGACTTCGCCGATATATACAGTATCATCTGGTTGGTTACCTTCCCAATCTTCGTCCGTGTAGGCCAAGACATAGTCGTCGTCTTCCCACACATACCATCTGCAGTCGACAGGCATCTGTCTGGTTCTGGCATAACTGTCCCGATTATTGCAGTACCTTTTATCCTTATGCTCGCAGCATTCTCCATTTCTGTGCTTGTGCAGTCTCAAATCCCACGTGGCCTTTCCTTCCTGATCTCTCAGAATCT